TTGGAAAGTTTCCAGGCTTCATGAAAAAATGTTATGTTCATCTTTATCTCTTCTTAGAACTTAACACAAAGATTATCTCTGTGGACAGGATTAGCTCTAGTCTAGGATTACACCACTGCTCAGCAGCTAAGTAGTCTTGAAGAAGTGACCGTGCCTTGGGTCTCTAGAAACAGTGGAGTGCCAGATAATTAGAGGTTCAGTCATCTGGTCAGATTAAGGTTAGGTGCTTATGGATCTACTATGAGTCTGGTTTGGTATTAGCGGGTGCCATGTCACTACTGCCCTGGACCAGTAAGATTGAATAGTCATATCTGCCCTTCAATCGAGAAACTTAGTATCTCGAGTTGCTAGGTCTTTGCTTTACGTACTGTAGAGAGCCCGCGGAGATCTTTTGATTTGTATTTGGAAATTAAAATCTGACCATTAATTCCAGAAAAATTAAGACATATTTTTACAGGATTTTATACAACTTGACCTGATTGTGTAGGACATATCTTGAGACTCAGTGTTGAATCAGTTAACCTCAACTAGTTCATCTGAAATTTTACATACATGTTTGGATCGTGAGACAGTACAAAATTAAAAAAAAGGCGCCATTTTGAATCCAATATGGCGGCTGCTACAAAATAACGATTTATAGACTTCATGGTAATAATATGGATGTCAAATAAGAGGGCTTGATTGGAGAAACACAATAATCAAAGTTACGTCATTATAAATCCAATACGTCGGCGGCCGAAGAATGACATAATTTTTGTATGGTATGGCTATCAAATGAAGGGGCTCGATGAGAAAAATACAATAAGCAAGGTGATGCCACTGTAAGTCCAATCCACAGTACCCTCTGTGTTATAGGTACCTAATGAAAGGCCTTGATAAATGAAGCAGGGTAAATAAAGCGTCATAGTTCTAAATCCAATATAATAATGTGATAATGCAATGTCAGCATCTAGCTGGTCTAATGGCGTGGCCGGGAGGTCGCAGTCGGAACCTTGCAATAAATCAACGGAAACCCAGCGAGTTTGATTCTTCTCGACAAGTGCTCTGGCCCTAGGATCTGATCATAAAGTTAGTCCACTCTTACGTAAAATTGATATGCTCAGTTGCCTTAAGCTTTGCTCAAGAATTTCCTGTGGAAAACAGTTTTAGGAATAGTGATGCAAACAATTCTGCTCAATATTGTTTTAACTAGGCTTCTGAACAACAACGTTTTAACCAAGAAGACATTACTTTTCTGACTACAGATTGCACATTGAATCTAGTTACTGTGTTATTGTATAGAATATTGATTCGGTAGTAGTCATAGTTGAATGTTTTTCAACTGCACTCCATGGCAGTAGCAAACACTTAGGAACTAGGTACTTGTAGGATACTTTTTACAGAGAAATAAGGAAAAACGTCTTCAATACAATGGCAGAGAAGAAAAAGATGGATACGACAATCACTATTGAGAGGAGTTTCGTCAACAAAGCAGCAATACGCCATAAAAGAAAAACATTCAAATAGGTTTTACCAGAGTAGTTGTATTTGGAGTTACTATGAGGGCACATATTATAGGCAGTAAAGGAAGGTGCAAAAAGGAACGTTGCGTGCCTTAACTACTAAATAATGGAAAAGGTATCCCCACAGGCTACTGCGTTTGCGCCATTTGTTGGAATGAGAATAAAATAGCGTATCACTTCAAGGACTATCTAACAACAGAGGTTCACGGCAAACTGGAGTTTGATATTGAGAAGGTATATTCAGGGGAATATTCAAACATCTGGACCTTCCCCTAGGATGTTAGGTAGGTTTGTTGAACCTTTTGCAAATAAGTAGAATGTTGACCGCTATGAGCCTAAAATGTCAAAAGTGACTAGTTGCTTGGATTCGTCTATCCATTACTACTATTCCTCATGTGCGGCACTTGTTTGATGCCACTAGATTGGTTAACTGAGAAAATATAATGAGGATGAGACACAAGAATTTCCGATGAGATCCAATGAGCTCCAAGGAGATCCAAAGAAATGTGCATGAAGCATATATTTGTTACTAAAAGAGTGTCAGTGGCTAGCTCCTCGTACGCTACTGGTTGTTAATGTCCCTTGAATATTCCAACAAGCGGTGATGATTACTGAAAAAAGAATTAAGTGGCTTCTAGGTGAATGCTGGTCACGCAAAGGTGATGTAATTTGATTTGAAGTCATGTAGTATCGGTACGTGCGCCTTTACATTCATGATATTGATTTCAGATTAGTTTAACATTTTTTTGACATTTATTGGTATGTAGCCAGTTATGGTTATGAGGGTTCATAAATGTTCGTTGATATGATCAGTTCTAAAATACATGGAGTGATCGTTTGGCATATAAATGACTGCGAGGTGATTTGCAAACCGCTTTAAACCATACATGGAGTTTAAGGGGCTTAAGCTGTATATTGTACCTACATACGTACTCTTATAAACCTTTCTACCACTTGGTGATCTAAGATGTGAAGATTACACCACAGATTGAAAAAGTCATACAGACACTACTTTCTAAAAGCTCTCACATCTTCTTGTTTTGTTCTAGTTTTAGTGGGGTTCGCATGTCTAACCAGGACAAAGAAAGTAAAAAATAACAACAACAACAACAATAAAACGTACAATGTATGCCGGGTATTGTTGAATACTGGAGTTGGTAAAACGTTTTTAGGATTTGTCTAGAATCCTATTGTATTTCACACTGATATTTCCACTCTCTCTATGTTTTGCACCTCTTCGCTGGTTCTTTCTTCTTGTTAATATACACGAGTTCTGTACATGGCAGGCATTGTATACCATTATTTGAATAATGGCTGAAAATGCATTATAGCTCGGTTTAAGATAACACAATTCCGGATTTTATTAACCAGTCTTCTGTGCCGAAACAAAATATATCAGTGTTCTATAAAAAAATTTATTTACAAAACGTGTACAAAAATTTACAAAATAGCAGAGCCCAAGCAATCTTTGGCCTTTTAAGGGTAATCACTCAAGTTCTCTCTATATGACTAATTTTCAATGTATTTTCTGTAGTGCAAGAGTCTTAGGGTCATAGGTATACAATGGATCTTCGATAGAAATAACATTTTCATATTTTAACCTAGCAAGAAATTCCATGTTGACTTTATCATCTTTGGTAGAATACATAATCCTCTGGAGTACTCCATTTGGGTGATATATGTAATAAACTCCCATGTCTCTTACACTAGGTAATGAATCTTGCTTCTTATCAACCACCGATGGTGGACCGGTAGTAACGTCAAACTCCTCGACGTCTTTAAGTTTTTCGCTTTTCTGTCCCCTCTTTTTCCTAGTGAATTCGCTAAGTTCGTTGATTATTTCTACTTCTTCGTCTTTATAGCTGGTCTCGGTTGTGGGTTCCTGTGGTCTAGTAGTTGTAATGTCATTTTGGGATATCGGCTTGTGATAAGGGGGTCCATACTCCTTAAAATAAAGTACTAATGTAAGTATGAAAAGGTCTCGGAGTAACAGGGGTCCGAAACCCAATTACTTGTACCAAACTACAGCACTTGGCTAATTTCGATTGAATTGCTATAATATGTTTAGACTTCGGAGAACTATGATCTGGTGACTATAGACTAAGAAAATGTCTCGCATCCCCGTAAATCAAATTTACTTTTGAAAATACTGTGGCTGCTGCCTTGAAGGGTAACTAAGGGTGTGGTTCATGAACGTATAATTTGTGTATTAAACTATCACCTTAAAACAACACTCTTCGTTAAATTTGATGAACTCGCTCTCTACGGCAAAGTTGTTTTTACATTTTTAGGTTAGAGCAAATCATATCAAATCACTACAAAAGTTGTGGCAAGTACCGGTCTATGGGAAGGAAGACGGAACGACTCTTTGGTTGACAAACATTTTATGGTTCTATTAAGCACAAACACCATCAGAGAACATATCAACACAGGAAGATCAAGAACAAAAAATAAGTTAGCCACGTTAAAACATATTGTTTTATTCTCTAACTTATCAGTCACAGCAATATTGTTACCATAGTCAATTCAAGAACAACTTTTGGAATTCTTTTAAAAAATTGCCTAAATAATTTTTGACACAGTTTCGGTTCTGAAAACATGCAGATTCATTAAAAGAGTCCGTTTTTGAATAAGATTACGCAAAAAAAACGAAGCAGAATATTTTTCCCATAAGATGAACATATTGCCCGGACTATCATGCATCCATCACGCAAATCAAACGGTACGCTACCACAGAGCGTTGAAAAAACAAAATGCCGGTTTAACCACTAAAATTTGTGAATTTGAAAACAGATCGTCTAAGTTAGATAAAATTTCGCAAGGTGACGGATGCGTACAAAGTTGCATCCAAGTAATCTAGTAGCACCAAAAGTCGTTAATTTTCAGTATGGATGCCGTTAGCTGAGTCCACCCTGTAAATTGGTTGATGCTGATTTTTAATCTTAAATCAACTATATTTTGGCTTTAGCTACGAAAATTATTCTGTACTATCAACAACAAAGAATTGTCAGTTGAAGGTTTTTGGACCAACTCTTAGATGTTTACATTATTGAATGCGAAAAGCTGCCCGTGTATTCTTCCCAAGTTGCATCCTCTAACATCATTGTGATGGATATTTTGTGGATCATACCTTTTTCAGTAGTACACATTAAAATAAAAGATGTTTCTACGAAAGATATGAAATGCTTGAACTATTTACCTCAAAAGGAGTTTGTGGCGAATGCTCCACTGGTGGTTGTGTTGAAGTATACTCTGAACCAATCGGAGTCCCAGGCTTTCCGGGCATTTCAGGTGCACCAGGAGATCGAGGAGATCCAGGAGATCCAGGTGATCCAGGAGATCCAGGAGATTCTGGAGATACCGGAGATTCAGGAGATCCAGGAGATCCAGGAGATCCAGGAGATACAGGAGATCCAGGAGATCCAGGAGCTCTAGGTGATTCAGATGCTTCAGGCGTTTCTGGCCCTACAGGTGATCCAGGTGCCCCTGGTGCTCCTGGTCTTCCAGGTGTTTGAGGAGTTCCGGGCGTTTCGAACTTAGGCCCATTTGGTTTCCATCCTGACGGGGGATATGGTCCTGAGTGGTCCCTTGAATGATTCGCTAACACCAACGCCACCTCTAGTATAACAAGTAAACTAATGCTGATATTAAACATTTTGCGGGCGTTACTTGCGACTGACTGGGTGTGAAAAGTTACATAAGATGTTTATATAGCCGTTGTCGTTGAATAAACATTCAAAAGTGTGCAAAAACTTAACACTGACCCGAAAAAAGGGGACTATCAAATGCATAACTAGATTATTCTGTTGCAATCGTCTTAAAACTGTTTACATGTCAATTAATAGGTGAATTACGAGATAAACAAAAATACTTTCATTCTACTATTGCGAATAACCTTACACGTATTCTCTTATTTCGTAGTTTAACTTGTGTTATGACAAATTCGGTAAAAACAAATTTAATTCGTCAAAAGGTGGAATAATAAATTAGAAAAACGGGCGTGTTGTAATTTTTACTTACCGTCATGTTCCAGAGGCCTGAGTTTGAAGCCTGCCAAGAAGAACATCTTATAGATTTGATTCAATTCAAAACCATTTTTCTTTGTTTCCTACCTCTATCCATTAACCCTCTATCCAGTTTAACTCCCTCCTCTTTGGCGACTTCAATGTCTACAATGAAAACTGTTTACGGTCAAACAAAATCAGTGCATTAGTTTGTGTCGTGTTTTGTTGGATTTCTTCCTGCCCATGCAATCTGTCCCCGACAGCACTACTGTCCAGCCACCCTTTTTTCTAACGATTACTGGTGATGCGAATTCTGACGAAATTTTGTTCTGACAAACTGTCCGAATGAAAAAAGCCTGTTTACACTGGCGGCGACCAGTACGTCAGAATATGTGCGCCGTCGCGTCGTCAGAACTTTTTGAGCGTTCAAACAGATTTGACTTTTCCGTACGACCTGTCTCTGTTTGAGTACTTTTTTGCTATTTCACCATAGATAACGACAGATTGATGAATTTGCTGATAGTAGGCAAACATTGGATAAAATTGCTGCAGGACTCAACACTACGAGTAAGTGATTTGATTTGTTCTGATCTAGGTACATGACACACATTTAAATTAACTACACTTGTTAACTGTATAGCCAAATAGTTATTTCTTACATTTTATCCGTCAATAACATGACATTTGGAGCCTTATATTGTTACAGTAGGTTGTATTGAGATTGGAGATCACCAGCGGGATTAACAAAATGACTTTTTAAGGTTTCTCTAGCCTCATTCGCGCTTCATCCGTAGTGATTACTACATCTCTATGAAACTAGGACATTATGTGGGGGCTTGATAAGTCCATCTAATCCTGAAATACTCGAAAAACTTTTGCGGTTCGTACAGCAACCTTTCAAATAAATTTTCAAACTCCCCTCTCTACTAAGAAGCAAAGGATCTACATGCTCTTTCACCATAGAAGGGACTTTCAAAGAAATAAAATTCATCAACTTCGTCCATATTTGCTGGGTGTTAGAAACGTACTGACAACCAAAATTTCATGAAACATGCACAGTGTGTTCTGACGAGGAGGTTGGCGTACTCGTCCAAAAAATATTTCGTCAATAACTTTTGTCTTAGACAAAAACCTAAACACTGAGACACCGCGATTGCACATACACAGGAACGCATTTATAGGGGGATTTTCAATGTAAAATTTTTGCCTAAAGGGCTTCATTAAAAAGGTACGGAGTGTCTGTAAAATTAACGTGTACCAGTGGCGGAGATACAGGGGATTAGTGGCGTTATTTTTCCAAATAAAAATAGTAGTAGTTTTTTTCGGAACGTGCAATTTTTCAAATTATACCTCCAATTTGCAACAAATAATTAATCTTGTGTTTTTGTCTTAAAGTGCATTGTTTTCGTAAAAATGAAAAAAAAAACAAATTAAATAATCAAAGCTTCATTCCAATAAATGCTCAAAAAGGCCACAGTTCTGCCGGATACAAGTGCGGCATATTTTTAATAAAAAATAGCTATTTCCGCAAAATTTGTTGTGGCTTGGATTTGATGAAACTCAGTATCTGTTCTTTATGGAAATGAAAAAAAACAGACTTTTGACTTGACTTTCACAAAAAAAAATGGCAGAAGTAACGATAACAACCGTATAACTTTGACAAAGTGTCTCCTAAGAAACTTCAAGTTGGTATCAAGGACCCCTATTTTATTTTGAAACTAATTGTATCCCGGCTCTTCATGAATGGGCTAGTTTGTTTTATTTTTATTTTTATGAAAACAGTGGACTCTAAGAAAAAACTCAAGAGTAGTTATTTGTAGCGAATGGAAGGTAAAATTCAAAAAATTGCGTGATTTGAAAAAAACAGTGTCGTACTATTTTTATTTGGAAAAACGATGCCACTAATCCCCTTTGTCTCCGCCACTATTGCACTTTAATTTTGGGTAAAGACTTTTGAACGTGATTCATACTTAGGTTACTCTACATACTAAATTTTAGTTCATTCCAGTTGATGGTTTTGAAGATATTAAAAAAAAATGTTATTTATTTTTAAACTCCAACACCCCGTATCGTTTTAATGGAGCCTTTTTTTCAATTTTGGTCACGACTTGTGAATCACCGTGTACATTACTCTATTATTATTTTCATATTATTTAGCTTTGATAATGTATCAAAAGCTTAAATTTGCATACTTGATAACACATATTTTCGTAGCGGGATTTGTAGTATATATAAGTATCGACCGAGTTCTAAATATAGTAACAAAATAGTTGGAAATCCCTTTCGATTACCCCGATAAAAAGGAAAAGTTTCTCCTTTCAACACGCTATAGACAATACATAAATAGGAAAACAAGTGGCGAAATCGTCGCTTTAAATATATAGACGGCTTATAGGACACTTCTTATGATAAAATGACGACCAATATCTAGTATGAATATCCACTGGCTTGGTTGAACAAATTAATCATTAATACGTAGACCCCATTTAGGTACTTTCAGAACATAAGGTTTCGGAAAAAGCATTCTTCGGAAGATGCAAATTTGGCTAGCTCTAAGTATAACTTTGAGCATTCGAATTAGGTGCTGACGCTTAGACTATATATAGGGTGTTTCAGGAAGACACGTCAATATTTCTAGGGTAGAAAGTACATCCAAAAATAATAAAAAAAATCTTATATACATGGACCAAAGAAGCTTCACTACCGAGATACAGGGTGATGACATCTTATTTATGAAATTAGTAAAATTACATCTACGCAGCGGGTAACGATACAGAGTTAAGATTTTAGAAGTTCAGTAAGCACATCATCAGCAATAAGCACACTGAGTTTCCCGACCCAAACTAAACAAGAGACGTGAAACTGTGGCACCTGGATCTCTGATGTTTTTTATGCCACTAACCTTATCGCAGAAAGGAAGTGTATTTTATAAAATACCTCTAATTTTCCATAAATTGTGTCAGCTAAGGAATGTCTGTCAGATCTATAGATTTGGAGATATTTAGGTTTGAATATTTGAGGAAAAATACTAAAATACAGGTATACTCTTTTGAAAAGGTTCAGCTTCCCCTATTCTGGAAAACACGGGAAGTTTGATATTGGAAGCACGTTACGGTATGTGAAGAAAGCTGTTGCACCTCATTTCATTATTAATTGAATAATAAGCGTGTCTTATTCTCAAACAGTTGCGTAGAAGCTTACTATTTATCAAACCTTTCCTGTGCACGCCACTGGTTTTGTCGGCATATCTATTTTTGATATAGATAAAGAAACCTCAAAACAAAGAACACGTTTTTTCAAAAATAAACAAATAACGCTAATATGTAAGAGTTAAACAACAATAAAAATTACATTTGGAACAACTTAGTGGTTATTTCTAAATTTATGAGAAAAAATTGGGAACAAAAAATAGTGTTGGATAAATGCTATAACATCCAACCTAAAGGAGGTGTTGAAAGTGACCACCCCTGGATAGTACGAACAGTGTTGAAAGCCTTCTGTATACTTCGTCGTCATACTTCGTGTCCGAGGCTGCTAACGATAGGTGATATCTTCTTTGAGCTCACTTAATCGGAAATGCTAAAGAATTTTCAGAAAAGAATGCCGATAATTTCAGAAGTAAAATAACAAGAATTTTACTCAAATTTTGGTTCCACAATTACCAGATGTGATTTTAGACAAATAGTCGAATCGAAGATCGATAATATCAGGAGAGGTATACCATGGAAACCAGTGGCGTGTAATCAATGGCCAAGCATCTGCGCTACCAACTGAAGATAAGACACGCATATTATTCAATCAATATTGTAATGTATAGTGTTTTCAATATCAAGATATATCAAGATTCTAAATAGGAGAGGCGAAACCTTTTCATAAGAATATTTCAGGATTTTACCTCAAATATTCATATCTAAATATCTCCCAAGCGAGTGATCTGACAAAAGATCATTAAGAGACAAAATTAATGGAAAATAGATTTTTTTGTATAAAATGCACTTCTTCCCTTCGAAAAGGACGGTGGCGTAGAAAATATTTCCTATTAGGGTATCCCAGTTTCTTCTGGGTTAGTTTGCGTCGGGAAACCCTGCGCTTATTGCTTATGATGTGCTCATTGAACGTCTGAAATCTTAACTAAGTATCTTTACCCGCTCCGTAGATATAATTTTTTCGATTTCGTAAATACAACTTCATCACCCTGTATCTCGGTCGGGAATAGGAATATTGCCACGTTTTCTGAAAGACCTTGTATGTGGAAAAAGTCCAAGCTCACTAGTTTGCATCAATGTATATGAGATTCCGGACTATTATAGGTATTTGATTCCCTCATTAACTGTGGTCGTTATGTTAATAAGCAGAATTTCGTACTGAAATCACAAAAGTTAACGATCTGACTTGACTGACCTGTTATCTAGAGCCATATGTCTGAACAAGGCGTTTTCAAATTCCTTATATTCCAATATTTAGGTTTCTGTATACGCGGCTGCTTGGGTATAAAAATATCTGGAGTTTGAATATTCGAACGGAGGTCTTGTGCACCTCATGTAAACTATCACGGTTCAAGAGATAAATCAATCACTGTACGATAGTATGGCATCTTTGCAAGTTTAAAATTGTTTTACTGAGGTCATTCTATTCTTGTAAGAGTATTATTTTCTATCCACTTTCTTACGTTGTCTAGACAGTTGCGTGCAACTTATGCAATTAAATTATCCACCCTAGATCTATATCAGACAGTATGGTTAGAACAGTAAGGGAATGTTGGCATGTTGTTAAAAGCAGGAGTTATAATCAGGATAATGAGATTATTTTTTTCTTGGGAGATATCAAGAAAAGTACCAGCTCGATTATTGTTTTATAAATAACGATAAGCATATTTATGTACCTACTGCATAATACGGCGCATTTGAACGAGAAACCCCAAGAGACAACAATAATCAATCTAGCTTTTAGATACTGATACTAATTTTTTGAAACCTTGGCGGATTATATTATATCTAAGCATAAGGAGATTCCGTCAGGAATGTCACTGATGTAAGTAGTTTAAGGAAGAAACTTGTACATGCTGTATAACTGTATTCGAAAAATGTGAGGAAACTCAATATCATAACATTACAATAAAAATGAGACATA